ATAGAATTTCATAGCAGAATTTAATTATATTATCATAACTCCAACTTTTTATTTATACGCCACAAAGCCTGAATTGAATAAAAAATGTTATTTAATATGAGTAAAGGTGATTTAGTCAGTTGATTTCATGGTAAAGTTAAAAAAAAAGTATAAAATGTTGGGTAAGGGAAATCACTGAGCCCTTAGTGAGTTAAATTACATAGTCATATATTACAGAATGTTAAAATTGGAATTTTTGAAATTGCATCATTTCACATATTGAGGAAGTTTTACTATGTGTTCAATAAATTTTGGTGACTTACTTTTTATTTTTATTTTTAAGCACTTATAAGCAAACTATTATTATTATTGTTCACAGTAAAGGACATAAAGGCCAGTAGAAAGTTCCAGTGGTACTCTTCAAGAAAAATTACTTAATTTTAGGATTAGTTTACTTGATTAAGGTAGTGGTAAAAAGGAACCCAGATAAAAATGACCATTTTAGCCCTGACTGGTTTGGCTTAGTGGATAGAGCCTCACCCTGTGAACTCAAGGGTCCCGGGTTCGATTCCAGTCAGGGGCATGAACCTTGGTTGCGGGCACATCCCCAGTGGGGGGCGTGCAGGAGGCAGCTGGTTGATGTTTCTCTCTCGTCGATATTTCTAACCCTATCCCTCTCCCTTCTTCTCTATAAAAAAATCAATAAAGTATTTAAAAAAACAAATAGGTTTTCAATATCTTGCTCTCCCTCTTTTTCTGCCACCCCTATAATTAGGATGTTGGTACGCTTGAAGCTGTCCCAGAGGCTCCTTACACTATCTTCGTATTTTTGGATTCTTTTTTCATTTTGCTTTTCTGGTTGGGTGTTTTTTGCTTCTTCATATTTCAAATCTTTGACTTGATTTTTGCGATCCTTTAAACTGCTGTTGGAACTCTGTATAATATTCTTTTTTTCAGTCAGTGTATGCTTAACTTCTAGTTGGTCCTTTTTCATATCCTTGAGGGTCTCACTAAATTTCTCAGAGGTTTCTAGAAGATTCTTGAGTCAC